ACTTGCTTTTCCATTTACTTCATATGTAAAAGGAGCAACATGCACGAGATGTAGAATGGTGCTGAATCACTGTTGACTCCATAAGCTGTGATGGTCACTCACAGGAAGCACTGAGAAGCCTCAGGGATATTAGCTGCCGTGGTATTGGTGCCATCTACCTTAGTCTCTCTTTTCCCTGGATTTCATGTGTCATTGACTAGAAATAACTCCAAACCTAATGAAGAAGAACTTGTTATCGCCCGGCAGCTCTTATGGGATGATGCAGGGCTGTAAAAGACAACATGTTCAATGAAACACTGGTGCTGAATGTCATTAATGGCCAAAGTTTCTGATCCAATCCAAATGCAGCAGCACAGGTTGGATCTGAGGTAAGTTTGAATCATCAGAGGTATTTGAATTATAAGCATTAAACCCCTCGGTCTTCTACAAGTGGCAGACACTCAGACAAATTACTGTCATCAATGAATGTCTACTGTTCCTCTAGAAGTGTGTCAGGACTAAACAGTCATCATGGTTATTGTATAAAATAATGATTGTGAAAGGGTTAATGTTAGAGACTGCGTTAGGCTCCACCCAATCTGATGCTGTCAAGTGGACTTGGTGGAGATAAGGCAGAACATTTTTGGAATCTAGTAGGTGAAGACATATGCACATTCCCCAATTCTCTCAGTGACCACGTCAACCTGTACCCGATGCTATCCTGCAATGAGCTACTTTTTTTTTTAAGATAAAGGTCTCTTCTCTTTCCGACTCACTGGTGGCTCTCCTCTGCCACTGTAAACCATAAAAGCTCTTACACCCAATGAAAGGTGATGGTGGCAAAAGACTACCCCAACCACAAGCTGGCAGCGGTTGGCATTGCAGTGCAGACAAGAATCTGGCAAATGTGGGAGAAGGATCACTGGAGTTGAAACATTAGATCTGGTCTCTCTCATTGATGATGCCAGACCTGCTGGGTTTCTCCAGCAGTTTTTTGAACAAGAATAACAGGGTCTTAAGAGGACATAGATGGAACATTCTGCACATCATATGTGTGTAAGGAGTAAAATGGCAGTCCGCTGATGAACCAATTAGAGCAGTGGAAGGTCAAGGAGATGTGGCGTTCTCACTCTGTGTCTTAATTATACCAGTAATGGAGACTGAGAGCTATAGGGAGACATCTGCCCATACACTCATTTGGAAACAGGGGGTATTGAGAGGGTAAACCCTTGTGAGCATGAGAAACTTCTCCATTTCTGATACATTATCATGGTCTATAAATATGTCAGGTGTTTCCCATAACATATGCTGAGGGGCTGGTGTCTTCACCACGAAGGAGCACAAGGGTGAGGAAGACTTTCAAGTGAGGCTTACTGCTTTCTTTTGGTATCAACATCAACAGGTCCTGACAACCCTTGGTCTTATGCACGTAGATGCAGCAAAATCCCAGAAACGCAGAACCATTGCCCTGTTTTCAGGTTAATAGGAATTATCACTTGCTACTGGCAACCTCTCCTTCTCTTCAACAGGTGGATTAGGCACACAACATATCATACTGAAACATGGATTATAAATGATCTTTTAGATATTTTCATTCATGGGATGTGGGTGTCTTTGGCTAGACCAGCATTCACTGTCCATCACTAATGTCCTTGCGAAGATTATGGCGAGCCACCTTCTTGAATCACTGCAGTCCATGTGTTGGAGAGACATCCACAGTGCTTTTGGAATTTAAGGTTTGGACCCAATGACATTGAAGAAACAAAGATATATTTCCAAGTCAGGATGGTGAGTGGCTTAGAGGGGTACTTGCAGATGATGCGCTTCTCCATGTATCTGCTGCCCTTGTCCTTCTAGATTGTAGGTTTGGAAGGTTCTGTCAAAGGAGCCTTGGTTAGTTACTGCAGTACATCTTGCAGACAGTATACACTGCTCTCACTGTCTGTCAGCGGTGGGTGAGATGCTGCTCCAGCAGGTTGCTTTTTTATTTAAAATTCATTTATAGGATCAGGGATTCTCTGGCCAGGCCAGCACTTATTGCCCATCCCTAATTGCACTGAGGGCAGTTTAAGAATCAACCACAGTGGAACTGGAGTCACATGTAAGGACATCAGTTTCCTTCCCTAATGGGCATTAGTGAGCTAAATGGGTTTTCACAACAATCGATAATGGACTCTCAGTTATCATTTGACTCTCAATTCTCCAAACTGAGGTGGGAACAATCCTACCATTAGGGGCCTATTTTTATTTATTATATACCGAGAAATGCTATTATGCACAACTGAACAATGTCCCACCACAAAATCACCGTGACTTTTTCTTCCATTTAACTACCACCAGTAATCACCCATGTAACCAATTAAATATTTACAAGCAAAGCCCATGACTAGTTGTTCTTGTTTTAATGTAAGTCACCCGATGAAATCAAAATAATGTTTAAGTTTACTTTCATGGCTGGTGCTTTGCGCTTCATGTACTGGGACGTATTTATCTAATTCATACTAATTCAATCACTTGTACCCAGAACATAAGAAATTGGAAATCATTGCAACTGCTTCAATGGCTTTGTCCAGAAGGGCAAGTTATCTATGAAGGGTTTCAATGAAATTAGCACTCTCTTTCTTGCTGAGTGTAAATCTATTCTTACATTGTGCAAGTTAATATCTTTTGCTCCAATAATCAGTCCTGCTGTGAAACTCTGTTGGAACATAACATTCAATCTTCCTGCAAATGATATTTAAATAGGGAAAGACTGCAAAATGCTACAGTGGGATTTTGGAGATTGGGGGTGGGGGCAAGAGTCCCAGCACATGAATCACAAAAAGCTAACATCCAAGTTCAGTGGCTACCAGTGAAGGCAAATGGAGGCTGGCCTTTATTTCAAAGGGAATGGAGCATAAAAATAATGAGATCTTGCTAAAATGATACAAAGCACTGGTCAGACCACAGCTGGGATATTTTGCAGTTTTGGTCTCCTTATCTAAGGACAGATATAGTGACAGTCTGAAAGTTAACTAGGTTGATCTCAGATATGGAGCAACTGGCTTGGGAGGAGAGGTTAAGTAGGTTGGGCTTGTACTCATTGGAAACAATAACAGAAATTGGTAGAAAAACTCAGCAGGTCTGGCAGCATCTGTGAAGAAAAATCAGAGTTAATGTTTTGGGTCTGGTTCTAAAGAAAGGGTCACTGGATCCAAAATGCTAACTCAGCTTTCTCTCTCCACAGGTGCTGCCAGATCAGCTGAGTTTTTCAAGCAATTCTGTTGCTGTTTCTGATTTTCAGCACACAAAGTTCTTTTGTTTTTTTAATACGTTTGTGGGACTTGGGCGTCGCTGGCTGATCAGCATTTATTGCCCATCCCTAGTTACCCTTGAGAAGGTGGTGGTGAGCTGCCTTCTTGAAACACTGCAGTTCACCTGCTGTGGGTTGACCCACAATGCCCTGATGGAAGGAATTCCAGGATTTTGACCCAGCAACAGTGAAAGACCAGCAATACATTTCCAAGTCAGGAGTGATGAGTGGCTGGGAGGGGAAGCTGAAGGTGGTGGTGTTCCCATATGTCTGCTGCCCTTGTCCTTCTAGATGGAAGTGGTCGTGGGTTTGGAAAGTGCTGTCTGAGGATCTTTGGTGAATTTCCGCAGTGTATCTTGTAGAAAGTACACACTGCTGCTACTGAGCGTCAGTGGTGGAGGGAGTGGATGCTTGTAGATGTGGTGCCAACTAAGTGGGCTGCTTTGTCCTGGATGGTGTTAAGCTTCTTGAGTGTTGTTGGGGCTGCACTCATCCAGGCAAGTGGGGAGTATTCAATCACATTCCTGACTTGTGCCTTGTAGATGGTGGACAGGCTTTGGGGAGTCAGGAGGTCAGTTACTCACTGTAGTATTCCTAGCCTCTGACCTGCTTTTGTAGCCACTGTGTTTATGTGGTGAGTCCAGTTGAGTTTCTGGTCAATGGTAATCCCCAGGATGTTGATAGTGGAGGATTCAGATATGGTACACATTGAATGCCAAGGGGTGGTGGTTAGATTGTCTCTTATTGGAGATGGTCATAGCCTGGCATTTGTGTGGCACAAATGCTACTTGCCACTTGTCAGCCCAAGCCTGAGTATTGTCCAAATCTTGTTGCATTTGAACACAGACTGTTCAGTATCTGAGTCATCCTGAATGGTGCTGAACATTGTGCAATCATCAGCAAACGTCCCCACTTCTGACCTTATGATGGAGGGAAGGTCATTGATGAAGCAGCTGAAGATGGTTGAGCCTAGGACACTATCCTGAGGAACTCCTGCAGAGATGCCCTGGAGCTGAGATGATTGACCTCCAACAACTACGACCATCTTCCTATGTGTCAGGTATGACTCCAACCACCGGTTTACCCCCCGATACTGATTGATTCCAGTTTTGCAAGGGCACCCTACTTTTGCTAGGGAGTTTAGAAGAACGAGAGGAGACCTTATTGAAACATAAGATTCTTAGGGAGCTTGACAGGGTAGATGAGGAGAGGTTGATTCCCCTTGTAGGACAAGTCTAGGACCAGATGACATCATCCAGGAGTAAGGAGTCGCCCATTTAAGACAGAAATGCAGGGCAATTTCTCCTCTCAGAGGATGGTGAATCTGTGGAATATTTTATTCCGAGGCAGCTGTCAAGACATGGTCATTAAATAAATACAATGCAGGGACAGGTTTTTAATCAGTGAGGGAGTCAAGGATTATGGAGAAAATTGGAGTTAAGGATTATCAGGTCAGCCATGATCTCTGTAAATGGTGAAACAGACTGTTTGTTAAATGGCCTACTTCTGCTCCTGTGCCTTACCGTCTTTTATATCGCAGCCCTGTCCCTTCTGAATTGAGAGAACTGAGTTTCTGTAAAAACAAGTGAGCCCTAAAATGCTGCAGTAACTGTTGGGCGCAAAGTCCAAGTGGGACATGCTGCTGGGTTCACTTGTTTGAGGTGCTAATTGACAGACTGCACACTTATCCCTAACTCTGCAGTTTCTTAAAAAAATGACTCAGGCAAGGAACAATGAAGAAATCATCTTTAATGGATATATAAGGCACATGGGCACAATATAAAGTGGATACTTAAAATACTTCATGTTAGTTACATACAGATTTGATATAAGAAACTACTCTCATGTAAACTCCTCAATGATAAACGTCCATTCACTGTGTCAACAGTTGAAGCTTGTGTTAATAACTCTGTCCTACACAAGCCCCTAAATGTATTTCTGCTCAGTTTGTAAAAGCTGTTGTAACAACCCGCATAGCAAAATCCATCGAACACCCCCAGAGTCTCCCAGTGAAAATGCTAAGGCACCTGCTTGCAATTTCCTTTCTATCTAATTTTTTCCTCCCATTTTCTTTCCTTTCTCCATATACTGAGAGAGTCTGGCTATTCAGCTGCAGCAGGCAATACTCCCACTGCAGGAATGCAATGCCATAAGAGATCAGTTAATCAGATTTGGTTTGGGTGGGGGGGGGAGCTGGAGGGAGAAGATAATGTTGACTACTGCCCTTGGGAGAATATCCCATGCTTCAAGCTATGGCGTCTCTTCAATCCAACTGAACAGCAGCTTCAACAATGCTGCATTCCCAGCTCCATACATTAGAGTGGGGTTTGAATACCTGACCACGCAGCTCCAATGAGATTGCTGTCAAGCTGAGAAATGGCACTCTATTGTACACATTCTGGTAGCGTGCCCAAGTGACAATTCTTTGTCTGCCAGCTTCAACTGTGTGTAATAAATACCTTTGACGGCATCAAATATGGACTCTAATTTGACAGCTCCACTTTCACCCTGCTAAACCCTCCACCCTTCTTTGGTCACGAGGCATTGTGGCCAATGGTAGCTCAATCCCCCAGCACCACCTGACATTGTGTTCCAATGATACACAACCAGGAACAGGCCCCACAATCATGTTGATGTGTGCTGTCCATTGCCATGTCACATTGTGTAGACAGACAGTGCCCGCTTTCAGCAGATTGACTGGCTTCATGGACAAACATGTGGCTCCCGACCAACGTGTCAGGTGGCCTTCATGGGAGACCCTGAGGTTTCTCATTCTTGGTCCTTCTCCCTGGATGAGCCACTGGGAGATGCCATGAGGGATGGATTTGAACAACAGGCACATCAAGGCTTCAATTAACACCCTAACAGACTGCCCATCAACAAATAGTGCAGGGGCTTTCCAAACACAAAATCATACAGGGCTCATTAACAGAACATTAAAGAGAATTTAAAAAAGCCTTAAGATAATAAACACTCAGTATTTCACAAGCCAATATTCCATAGTTAGAGTTAACACATAACATTCATTTCTCTTCATTCAAACTCAGGCAGTGATTCTAAGTAAGATTGTCCTCCCCGTTCAAAACGGAGTCCGGGAGAGGTAGGGATTATACAACGTACGTTGCTAATTACATTAAAAGAGCTGAGATAGGCCTGACATTAACTGGAGTTTTTTTTTACCACCCCCAATATATCCCCCTGAAACATCCCTCCACAAATGGGACTGAGGATCCCTCTTTGTCCTGGTTTTCTAGTAAAGGGACTGACTGCACTGTTCCAGCATCAGAATCAGACATGTCCTTTCTCAGCACGAGAACTGGACTGAAGCTGTTCAAACACTGTTACCCTTGAAAGCTGCACAGCTGGAAGGTACAGCACATAGCTTCAGCGCAGCTCAGTAAAGTCACCACACTGTGAAACACCAGTCACAAAACAGCATTTCGGACAGGATGAGAACAGATAATATTTTTCACCCGTGTAAAGATTCTCTAACGGCACATTCAGAGTTCTGTTTTGGTTTCTCGATGTTAAATTACAAGGGGCTTTGGCTCATTGCTTATATACTCCCCCTACCTATTCAGATTGCAAAACTCTGTGGTTTGAATGCATTTTTGATTCTGGCAGGAGCTGTGGCCAGCCTCGTGTGGGAGGGGATTGATTCTATTGTCAAGGCACCAGACACCAGTTAATGATCATTAGTGTCTCAACTCTGTACAAATAAAGTTTCAAGAACATTAAATATTGCATTGATTATTGCAACTAAAAAAAAAATCCTTCACCTGATCGCAGCCAGGATGGCTACAGGAATGGACAAATTCTCAACAACTGTGCTTCATATGTCAATAGTCCTTTTGGCTTTTAGTATTTTCTGTGTATTGTTCACTCCAGTTAAGCTTTTAACCTGCTACAGGACTCCAATTACATGACAGAGAGGCATGATTAATGGAGTATGACTTTACCCTTTCATTCTCCTTTGATGGAACTGGCAGGAGATGCTATTAAAGGTTCACGTGTTCCTTTCAGTGGTTTTATCTCCAACATTTTAAAGAAAGCAACCAAAAAAACATGAGAAATCACTGTTAAGACTCCCCCAAGTCTTTATCAAATTCAGGTTCCAGGGATAGCAGGTGAAATTTTTTTTGTATGGGATTTCTGCACTCACTCTCATCACAGAATCAATCTCAGCTGACTGAAAGTAAACACGTCCTTCATACACTGAGCTGTATATCCTGCAGACAACACAACTGCAACCTTAAAGAGATAAGGTGCATCTCTGGGAAAGCTGCAAGGAAAGGCCTGCTGCATTAGGGTTTCTAAATTATCAATTGGCGGCAGGTAGTGTAGAACGATGAAGGGAGATCTGTACTTCCCCAGTGATTCTTACTCTTCATTGTATCATCAAATACAGCTTCCATAAGGAGGGGGCCAAAGGGAACAGGAGTTATGTGCCACTCAGGTAGAGGGCCTGCGGCTGGCCAGTCAGCAGCAAGATACTGACCTGTGTTAGCTCATGACCTTCCTGTCGATTAAATTAAACATGTGGGCTGTAGATGAATATATGCACACAATAGGGAGCTGAAATACCAAAGACTGGAGAGAGAGAGAGAGAGAGAGAGAGAGAGAGAGAGACAGACACAGAGACAGAGAGGGGGTGGAGAGGAGGGGAAGAGTCCATACAGCATTGATATTTTATTTATATATCGTAACTTTCAGCACACTGATATTCTACAGAATGTTAAGATTATTTTACAGTAATCACTTGCTGAATGATTACTCTATAGCTGTTAATCTGCCTTACATGAGGACAGAACCAGAGCTTACAACACATTGATGCACAGTGATGCTGCCTTATAATTACATTGATCTCTTGTTTCCTTGGTTTATTTGGACCATGTAATGCACTCATCTTTGGCTTGAAAAGTACAAAGCAAACATGGAGGAGTGGGGAGGAACCCAAGTTACCCAAACTGGAATTTGAGGTTCTGATGAGATTGACACAATTTAAATGCCAGGAAAATGCACCCAGTTTATATCAGAGTTGTAAGTACCGCTTGTCGGAAAACAGCGGTCACAATGCCATGCCCGTTTTTACAGAACAGTCCAATTCTCCATACAACACACTCCTGGAAGGTGCCCAATCTGGAATATTGCAGCTATCACAAGAGACACAAAGGGATAGGTATCAAACCTGAGCTGCATTCAATATGTCCATAGCCTTCAATTTGTGAAAGGATATGCGAAAGGGTGGGAGAGAAGAGGAAAACAGGAGGATTTCTCCTTGTGCTTCACACGGCATCTTTCTCCTATATTTAGTCTGAGGATTCAGGGGTTTGAGAATGGTAAAAAGAGGAGCAGGAATGGCCTCTGACAGCTGCAGTACATTTGCTGCTTTAAACTTCACCCATTAGTCATGGACCACATTCACTCAGTTTACAGGTGTCCAAACCGGGAAAACTGGCAGAGATGTGAGGAAATCGCTTAGTCAACTGAGCCTCGAGGAGTAAGGGCACTGGGTAGGGCAGATGAGAGACATCAACCAGGAGAATTGCAGAAGGTTGAGAGTTCTCTCTCGGTCAAAGGAACGATGTGCCTGGGAATAGCACTGTCAGCCAGTGCAAGTGTGGACAATTACATGCCAACATACAGTATGATACAGACATAGACAGAGCCTGATACCAGAAAGTCCCTGGGGGTTGGGGTGGGAGGTGTCCTGCAAAGTGTCCATTCTCCATGGTAACCATCAATCACAACACTGTCAATAAGCTGCAACAGATAAACTGGGTTCTGGAAATCAGTCAGAGTTTGGAATGCAGGGACTATGAGGTATGCATTTTCTTTTAACTAGGATCCACTCTGCTCATAGCTAGCTAACGGGAAGGAAATTAATTACTGGTAATAAACCAGGAGGGGTGGTAACAGAAGTTTAATTGCCAGCACAATACTTGGGGCAGGGTGTTTTGTGTGAAGATTCAGGCAGGTCTGGAGTGGACAGCTTGTGCTTGGGGTAGGGCTGGGAGCAGTCGTTCAGAATTGAAAACCCACTCAGAAACAAAGAAAACAACTAGCTTTCCAGGAGCGTGTTTTCTCAAAGATTGTGTGTAATGTGCAAGGCATTTTTTTTTGTTACCCTCCAACAATAAAAGAAGATGGGTGATCTACTTCAAGTGAGAAAAATCAGAGAAGTGTGTGAGGGCTGCCTCCTGCTGGTGACCTGAAGAACAGTATTTGGGCAGAGGCCTGGTGACAGGTCCCCTGTTCCTTGTCCACTGCCCCTGCAGTTACAGGGGTGCACTGTAAAGCAACTATAAATGGCTGAACTTGGTTTAAAATGCACACATTCACTTTGGCAGAAACAAGGATGAAATGCTACACCATGACATTGAAAGGACAACCGTGTGTGGATTTAAAGTGCTAAATGAGTCTGTAAAGACTTGTTTTTGGAACTTTTACTAATGGATGTCGGCAGGGGAAGAGGAGGTGGGGAGGAATGAGGTGTTTTAAAGTAGTCCTGGAGTAATTTAGATACGGACACGCTAAACATCTGACTTTTAAGGTGACAGTCTGAGAACAATTTCTGTACAATTTGGTTTACAAAACCAGATCTATAAGGCCTCAATTTCACACACTCCAACTACAAACAGTGTGTGACAGGCAATTCTGCTGTAACTGCTTTGCCACAAACACCCTCCCTCCATCCTAGCCCCCAAATATGAAATGGAAGAGGCTGTCAAACATTGGAAAGTAAAACATGGGAAGGAACAGAGGACTGAAAACTAATAAACCCACAGCCTGCCAGGATACAGCCTGCAGAGGTTGGTGCTTCATTCCATTAGGCCTCAGTGCTCTGAGCTCCAGAAGTGGAGTGCTTTTTCTTCAATTCACATTCTTCATCCTGTAACACATTTAAAACAAAAAGACTTAAACACATTATGCTGACAACCCACCTGCTAAATTTTTACTGGGCCTTTGAGCAGTAGGCCTCGCCACTAGTTGGGCCTAGTTGCCATGGCAACAATATCAAGGCTTCTGTTCTGCAAAGAATATCAAGATTAACCAGACACCCTTGAATGGAACTATTGATCTCTTTGTTTATTTGAGTGTAACCCCGAATTTAGGCCATTCGATGCCTACTTCATGGACATTAAGTAGCCTCCAAAGCCCATATATGGTAGGCACGAGATGCATACTCAATGAGTCAAAGTATCACCCTACGTCAAATTGGTAAAGTTCCAAAGATTAGTCTGTGGTGCGCATGCCTGGAACAGGTGCTTGCTTTCAAATGCAAAGGGACAAATGTTTGACGGCCCCATTGCGAAAATGAGTTTACTTTGAGGGAGCCAGCTCATTCAGAGAAAATCCAATGACCTAATGAGCAATCCCTAAAGACTACATACAGCAATAAGCTTACTGAAATGCAGCAGGACAGTACACGTGTGTGTGTGTGCGCGCGTGTGTGTGTGCGTGTGTATAGAATGTTCAACAGGTTTACTTAAAATCACAAGCTTTCAGAGCTTTGCTCCTTCGGAAGGTGAACAAAGAGGCTATGCTCTGAAAGCTTGTGATTTTCAAATAAACCTGTTGGACTATAACCTGGTGTGTGATTTCGACTTTTGTCCACTCCAGTCCAACATCGGCACCTCCACATCATTCCTATTTAAATGAGCTGTGACAGCAACCATTCCCCACTGAAACCCACACAATCCCCAAATCTTGTACCCAAGAAATGTGGCTAGGTTTCTAGGTCTGAATATGCACAATTATAAAATAGCTTTCCATTAAAATGCTGTTGGACATTCCCTTATGTGTGGATTGGAACTGGAAACAGACGACAATGCATTGCACAATTCTGTGTGTGGTATAAATATGTTCAGACTCCTTCCTATAGTATAATTTGAAAAACCTAAAGCACCTCTTAACCTGCGTACATAGGAGATGGTGGTGGCTTGGTAATAATACTAATCCAGAGGCCCAGGCTAATAATCCAGGGAAATGTATCCAAATCAGACCAATGGCTAATGGAATATAAAGATAGTCACCTTTAGTGAAGGAAATCTGCTGTACTTACCCAGCTTGACTTACATGTGACTCCAGACCCATAGCAATGTGGTTAATTCTTACACAGGAACAAAAACAAAGTTGGTGGAAAAGCTCAGCAGGTCTGGCAGCATCTGTGAAAGAAAAAACAGAGTTAATGCTTCTGTTTTTTCCTTCCCAGATGCTGCCAGACCTGCTGAGCCTTTCCACCAACTTTGTTTTTGGTCCCGATTTACAGCATCCTCAGTTCTTTCAGTTTTTATCTAGTGGTTAATTTTTAACTGCCCTGTGGAGTGGTCAGTTTCCCATTTCAGCTTCAGCAAGCCGCTCAGTTCAATGGCAATTGAGCAAAAATGCTGTCTGTCCCCGTACCACCCACAGCCTGTGAAAGAACTAAACAATGACAACATCCATAGGCATGTGGCTTTTAACACAGCAACATTTCCCCAGTGTCCCACAGCTCAGGAGTAGGCAACAGATCAAAGTAAATGGCCGATAGGACAGTCAGAGGTGGGGTTAGAAACAACTTTGGGAAGATTAAGACAGAAGTCTTTCAAGAAGAATACTGTATTGCAGATCCTTTGAGAGTTATAATGACAAATAACTCAGCATGTCACAGAGCTTATGTGTGAGCAGGCACAGAGTAAGACAGAAAATAGGACGGCGGGAGGGTGAGGGATAAGGGAGGGAAGAGGAGACAAAATACATGATTGGATGATAGGAGAGTCCAGAAATGTCAGATTAGCCCTCGGACTGCTGGAATTGAAATGGACAGGCAGTGAAATTGTTCAATTTGGAGTGACAGCAGGGAAAGGCACTGTTATAGTCACGAATGTATCAGCAAACAAGGTGAATGAAGTGGTCCTGAGTAGGACTGGAACAAAGACATATTTCATGAATACAGAGAGATAGTTTGCAGCTAATATCAGTTCCCATGGCAACCCCTTTTATATGGAGAAAGTGAGTGGAGTCAGAGAGGTTGTTTGATCTGAAAGGAGGAGTTCAGGAAAGTGGAGGAGGGGGTTGATCAATGGAGACTGGTTGGGCTTCTAAACTGGAGAAGTTGATTTGGTGGGGATACAGCTGTAGAGTGACTGAATTTCCAGACTTTTCTGCATTATTTGCTTTTTTCCACAACCAATAAACAGTCAGAATGACCGATTGCTCTGTGGTTTGGCTAACGGATGAATGCTGTGCTTGGAGCATAGCAACAGCAGGAGATTCAATCACTTGAGCCTGTTCTGCCATTAAGCAATTATTGACCTGTTTAGGAAACTAGGTAAGATCAGGAAAGATAGAGACAATGGACAAGTATTTGAATTCACAGGATGTATCTAGTAGTATTTCTTGAGAACAGCAGAGCCTTAACTATTCGCCTTGTGTGTTAATGACTCAGGCGTGATAGAAAGCCACATTTCCACATTGCTGATGATGAAAAGACAGATGACATTGCAAGTAGCATAAACGGAAATAAAATTTTACAAAGACGTATCATTAATGAAATTTCCAAAAATGTGATAAATGGATTTCAATGTGGGCTAACTTGAATTCAGAACAGGACGCTATCTAAATAGTGAAAAACTCACAGTCCAAAGTGATTTGGGAGTCAAGGTACATAGATCATTAAAATGTCATGAGAAAATACAGAAAAGAATCAAAAAGCCTGAATACAAGACTTAAGAAGCCATGATATAACATACAAAGTCTTGGCTGCAGCACACCTCAAGGCTTGTGACCTCTGGACACCAAACTTTAGGAATGATATATTGAGTTCAGGGGGGCTAAAACAGAGGTTTACCAAACAATATTGATTTCCAAGGGTCAACAGCAGCTCAGTTGGTAGTATTCTCAGATGTTTTAGGTTCAAATCCCATAGTAGGACTTGATCCCAAAAATCAAGGCTGATGATCAGTGCAGTACTGAGGGAGTGCTGATTGTTGGAGATGCACTCTTTTGGGTGGGATATGACACTGAGGTCTGGTCTACCCTCTCAGGCAGATGTAAACGATCAAATGCAATACTTTAAAGAAGGGTGGGGAGTTATCTCTGGTGACCCAGCTAACATTTATTCCACAACCAACGTCACAAAAGTAGATTATTTGGTTATCATCACATTGCTGTTTTGTAGGAGCTTGCTGTGCACAAACTGTTGCCATGTTTCCGACATCACACCGATGGGTATTCTGCAAAGGTCTTTCACTGGCTGTAAGCACTTTGGGGTATGGGGTGGTCATGAAAGGTTCTACATAAAAGCAGTTCTTATCCTTTTTTTCAATTTGAAGAAGAGAATACACAGACTAGAATTGTACATTCTGGCATTTAAGACAGTTAAAAGGCGATTTGGTTAAACTTTCCAATACACTAAGGGCAACTGTGAAAGTAAATAGAGAAACTATTTTTACTGGTTGGGGTGTCTAGGACATTCTAAAAATTACAGCCAGTCCTTTAGGGAATAAAATTAGGAAACACGGTAGAGGTTTGGAACTTTATGTAAATGGTAAGTGATGCTCGATTAATTGTTAATTTTAAATATGAGATTAATAGATTTTCCAAATTTACTAACGTATATGGGACAAACCAGTTAAGTCACAGTTCAGCTATGATCTCACTCAATGGCAATGAAATAGGTTGGATGTGTTAAATGGTCTACACCTATTCCTGTGTTCCTGATGGAGGCCATTTGATCCATTATGTATGTGCAAGTAATTTTAAAAAAATATCTAATTAATGCTCATGCTCCATACCCATTGCCCTTTCAAATATATATCCAATTTCCTTTTGAAAGTCGCCATTGGATCTCCCTTTAGGCAGTACATTGCAAGTGGATACAAGTCAATGTGTAAAGAACATGACATTCCCCACGTCAGGCCAATACCCAGGAACTGAACTCAATTATCCAGCTGAAGCCTAGAAATATTTTGTAAAAAAAATTTATCAAGGTTTAGCATTATTTCCTGTGTTAACACACTACGCCTGTTTCTCAAGCTAACAACCTGTAGCAGATTTCTCAACCTGTTCTGCAACTTCCTAAGATTTGTTCACGAATATCCCTGGGAATTTTTGTGCCTGCTCCCTTTTAAAGTTCTCATTTAACTGGCATTGCTTCACCACATCCTTCCTACCAGAATGAATCACTTCACACTTCTCCGTGTTAAATTTCATCTGCCCCTTTCGCCTGTCTGTCTACATCCTCCTGAAATCTGTTACAATCCTTCTTGTTGTTGCATATATTTCCACCAAGTCATCTGCAAGCTTTGAAATTATACCCCTGTATATTCAAGGCCAGGTCATTACTATAGATCAAAGACAGCAGAAGCCTGAACACTGAGTCCTGGAGGACACCACTGTACACTGCCATCTCATCTGAAAAACAATTGCGCCACTCTTTGCTGACTGTGTCTTAGCTAATTTTATATTCATGCAGCCACTGTACCTTTAATTGAATCTCAACTTTAATATCCTGTTACCCTCATCCAAACAAAAAACTTTTGATTTCAGCCTTGAAAGATCCAATTATCTCAGCATCCATTGCCCCTCTGATATGCTTTTATTATCCAGTGAGTCAGCGTGGGCTTCCACCTCCTCTATATTTCACTTAGTCCTTTCTGTAAGCATCTGAGCCCACACTGAAATTTTTTTTCTTTATTCATTCATGGGATGAGGGCGTTGCTGGCCAGGCAGCATTTATTGCTGCTCCTATTTGCCCAGAGGGCAGTTAAGTGTCAGCCACATTGCTGTGGGTCTGGAGTCACATGTAGGCCAAACCAGGTAAGTTCCCTTCCCGAAAGGACATTAAGTGAATCAGATTTTTTTTTTCCCCTGGCAATCAACAAACATCATCTAATTATTAGACACTTAATTCCAGATTTTTAAAAAATTTCAAGATCTGCTGTGATGGAATTTGAACCCGGGTCCCCAAAACATTACCTGGGTCTCTGGATTAACAGTCAAGTGATAATACCTCTAGGCCATCACCTTCTCCCATTTCTTGACGCTCAAATGCAACCTTCTTAAAAAAAGTAAACTGTCCAAGGCACTTCACAGGACAGTTACCAGACAAAATTTGTTACTGAGCTACTGAAGAAATTATTAAGCCTAACATCATGGTCAAAGAGGTACGTTTTAAGGAGCATTACAAGTTAAGAGAGTAGGGCTAAGGCAGGGAATTCCAGGATTTAACGTCAAGGGGACTGCAGTATAGCCATTAATGATTAAAGATTAAAAGTGAGGATGAGGAGGAAGTCAGAATGTGAGAAACCTCAGAGATGGCTATGGAACTGGTGGATCACAGTATTGTTCTGGTTTGTTTCTCACTTTTCCATCTGCTCCCAATAAAATTATTGCTTTCTTTTTGCATACATGTGAATCACTGGAACAGACAGACGGGTTTAACATCTTAGCTGGAAGACAGCATTCATTCAGCTCTACACTGGGGTGTCAGTCTAGATTACCTCTCCAAATGTTGGAATTGGGTTTGAACCAACAAGCTTCTGACTCAGAGCTAAGAGAACTACCAATTGATGCAAGCTGATAGGTAAAAGCTAGAGCTAGTCTGACTTATTTGTGCACTGGAGATACTTCAAGTCTATTATGCTCCCGTCAAACTGAACAGGCTTTCAAGAGCTCTGGCGATTAATTACCTGTCATGCTCAGTCTTTTTCCTTTCATTTTCAAGAGGCAGTTTTAGATCAGGTTCCTATTGTTAACTCAAATGTTGCTTTAGCCAGTCTCATCTTAAAGGCACCTCTCTGCCCATTAGCTGTTAAATAACGAATCACTTCACGAGATCTCTTGGTGTGCAGCATTGGTGTGATGAAGATGTTAATTGGATTCAAGAGGTTAGATGAGGATTTGGCCAACAAGGGGGTCATAATCTTAGTGTCAGAGTCAGATTGTTAGGGGGATGGTTGAAGAGGGCAGAGTGTGTGGACATTAGGAAACACATTTTCACACAGAGACTAGTACAGAAATCTAGAACCTCTCGCCGAAAACACCAGCTTTCAAGGCTGAGATAAATAGATTCTCATTAGGTGAAGGTATCAAGGGACACGCAAAGGGTAAGCTGTCAGCCTGCAATCTTAGTCTATTATTCACTGTAGCTGTTTTGAAACCAGGAGTGCTGTTTGTGCAGCGACTGTAAACAGTAAAAACAAAAACAACAGAACTAGTGATAAATAAATTCAAGATACACAGCAGGTTTGTCAGTGCATTGAGAGTTTGAAATGAACCACATTCTCCCATCTTCCTCCTTCAGACACTGAAGGGACCTACTGTGTGCTTGCAGCATCCTTAATCTCTCACCAATACTGTATACTCCTTACACTGTTAGAGATCTCATCTTCATTCTGTTCACTGGGGACACCATCGAAGTCATCCCTCTCAGTGTCAAAAGCATCTTCCTCATAGTCAGTCTGGTAGTCGGACTCATCTGTGGAACAGAAAGAAAATGTTAAGTTAAAGATTGAGTAAGTGGTGGTGTACAGTCAGCACAGTATCTGGAATGAGCAGCTTTTTCACACAGACTGCAAATACCAAAGCTAATTCATAATGGGGAAATGTAACACTCACGAATTTCACACCAATTGTTAAAGCTGTGACTATAGTGCTCTGTAAATCACATGCTAACCTTGACAGCAGGTATCAGACTCTAGATTTGTGGGCTAGCTCTAAAAGAAACACAAGTCATTGTTTCATCGAGAGAAGAATCCTCTCTTTTTGTCAATTTACTATGCCCTGCAATTAAAGGCATTAACTCTTGCTAGAATAGATACCTAAGACCCTCTATTACCTGTTGTTGTTCTTCATGTGGGAGCCTAGGCACCAAGCATTGACAAGTTTTTTGACAATGGGAGTCATCACTGCTGATTCTTGATGGTCAAACAAATTTCCCAGAAAGGATCACTGGATATGAAGAATCATGGAGGGATTAGGATTCAACATCTGTCTCCATATATCCTCATGAAACTTTCAATAGATGGATAAGTGATGTTACTTGTTTTTTTTTTAAAATCAACACAGTCTCTGAAGTTCAGTGAATCCTTCAAATTGGTAGTACAGGAAAGAGAGAGGTGGGCAACCAGCAATGGGTAGATGGTGTTAACCAGGGCAGGAAATGAAGTAAATAAAATTAGATGGTGTGAGGGAAGGGCTACGCTGCATCACATTACTTCTTGGGCACTGATACACTGTGTGAAGCAGCCTCTACATGAGAGGCCATTACTTACCATCCACAACCAGCAACTTTGCAGGTTCGATTCTAGACACGATTTCAGCCAGGTCAGTGAAGGAGGCATTTGGACAGGTAACCTGTTGAAACGGAACATTGGTTTTTAGTCATTGTGCTGACAAAATGGCAGTAATGGAATGCAATGAAACACAAAGTGAGTCCAAATTGGACAGAACCTTCATGGGTACAGTCAAATCCAGACTGCTAATAATCCCTTCTGTTTAACCACTGTCGAACTTGCACAGCCTGTGGTTACTGCAGATTCTCAAATGCTTTTCTTTTGTCTCTCGCACCAACAACGATCTTGAAACTCCCAACAATAACGTGTATTTATATAGCTCCTCTAATATTGTACAATATCCTATGGCACTTAAACACATGACAAACAGTGACAAGAAAGCTTAGTCAAATGGCTGGATTTTAAGAGAAGTTATCCCAAGCGTCATGGCCAATATTAATCCTTCAGCACCATTGACTTCCAGGAAATACTAATAGTCCTCTATGACTTGCAGCACTACCGCATTCTCTCAAGGGCTCCGTTCCATCTCAAGAGATCACAAAGCTGATAGAGTTTTTAAAAATTCTTACACTGGTAAGGCCAACATTTGTTTCCCGTCCCTTGAACGGAGTGGCTCTCAAAGCACTCTCGGGATAGACAAGAGCGAAGCACATTGCTGTTTGGAATCACATATTGGCCAGACCAGGTAAGGATGGTAGATTTTCCTCCCTAAAGGATATCAGTGGAGCCAGGCTGGATTTTTCAATCATTAAACAACAGTATTCCAAATGGACTGAATGGGTCCCCACAAGGGGAGAGCCTGATTGTGACCAATCCCGCACATCCAGAAGGCTCAGAGGCTACAGCCCTGGGGAAGGACTGAATCAGGTGAATATCAGGTAAACACACAGGTCCTCCATCCCAAGGGCCACATTCCCTGCTCACATGCAATTTGTAAACACCCTGGGAACTGTCAGCAGTCCCAGTGCTGCAGTGTTGCTAATATCCAGGGCTGTCCTGGAGTCTCCAACAATTGGAGGCTAGAAACAGCATGGGAGCATCAATAAAAACATTCAAATCCTTTGAACACTCTTTCAATCTTCAATATTTTGTGACTAAGAATAGGAAAAGAAATGCTGGCTGACTTGGGATAGATTGTCTGGGTCCAGCTCATCTCTCTCTACGTGAAAAGCCTGTTTAACAAGTGGAATTCCACAATGCCAGGATTAAACTGAAGCTCTATTTTAACCAGCCGCACGTAGCTAAGGTATGGATTGTGGAGATCTGTCTGTTGAGGAGTAATCATCAGAATTAAAATGACTGGTCCAGTGATAGTTAATTTTAAGTTTCGTACGAATTCTAATTTCCCTTTCTGGTTTGAGTGTGTTGTGGCTGTAATTGATGGTGCAGGTAGACTCTCCAACACTGGAGCATATACCAAAACACACAGGTATCACCTGAGATTTGTGAATATTATTCTGTCCCCTACAGATTTGGGGCTGCAGTACAGATGCTCCATCTCTGTATTCACTGTCTCAATTAGCTTCAGTCTCTGACAGATCAGAGTAAATGAACTGAGGTTCACAAGCCATTTCTTAATACTTTAGAAAGTGATTTAAACGATCTCAATCTTTTAATTGGCAAAAAGGCAGAGGGGGCAACGGAAAAGGTTTTATTTTACACAGAGTTGCCATGATCTTGAACGCACTGTAACATAAATGATGCAGCTTCAATGATAATTTTCAAAAGTGAGTTGGATCTACCTTTGAAAAGGAAACATGTTCGGGACTGTAGGAAAAGGCAAGAGAATGGGATTGGTTGGATGGTCTCCTGTGTCAAGAGATTTGATGCTTTATATCTTTGTGAATTTCTGCTATTTCAAGGAGGGATTTGAACTCTTGTCACAGACAATACCGCCAGCTCGCTTCTCCAGGCTAAGTCAGAGGATGATGGGTGGGTGAATGGGCTTTCTGCACCTTCGCTGACTCATGCCTTGAAGGGCAAGAGGGTGCAGTTCACCAGCAAGGTCCCAGTCCCTGGAACACTGAACAAAATCGGTCTGGTCCTAACAGCTCGACAGGGAAATAATGGAAGCTGTAACAGAATATGATGCAGTTTAAGATTCTCTGTCTTTTCAAATGTTTAGGAATAATCCAGCAGAACATACTTGTGCTTCCACGAAACTGTCCTCTTCATTTAGCTTGTCAGAAAGCTGGAGATCTGCCTTCAATGGTGGCCAAAAGTAGACAGTAGGTCACCACTGAAGTGATGAGCAACAGCATTAATGATTCCATGGGGCAAAGGTTCAAAAGAATACTACAGGTAAGACTTGCTAAAGAGGGAAACCCTAATCTTACAACTCAGTTATCAGAAGTGAGACTGGGTCTTTGGTAAAACTGGTTCAATCCTACAGCAAATTCAGTAACTTTATAAACAATAGCTGCCCTGACAGGAGACCTGAAAAGGAGATTTGTCAAGTTTTCAATTGCCATGCTGCTGTGAATACACTGAGCTTGGCTCCTGGCAGAACATTGTAATTAGCAGCACTTCCCAAATGGAGCTGTTCAGCGGCAGGATCACCTTGACAATTACTGCATCTCAACTTTTAGTGGCTTCCATTGTCCTAGCTGCTTTTTTCGGCTCAGAGACAGGAATCTGACAAATGTTTTCCTTCTCTGTTGCCCCTTTTTTTTTGCTCCCACCTGCTACAGTTTGGTTTAGATCCTAGAGAGTCCATACTCACAGTCTTACCCAACCAGGCACAACAAAAAAACAGGTAACACCACCAAATTATTATCAACACAAAGTGTGAAAGAAAGAAAAATTTTTTATTTCCCTTGGCCCCGTCAGGACCTCAGGATGTCCCATAATCCTTCACAGCCAATAAAGTACTGTTTGAAGTTTAGTCACTGTTGTAATGTAGGAAACACTGCAGTCAATTTACATACAAGATCCCATAAACAGCAACGAGATCATGGCTAGATATTAATGACCTAGATCTTGACATGCAGGAGACAATTTCCAAGTGTGCAGGTGATACAAAACATGGGACCATTGTAAACTGAGAGGCAGCCAGCGCGGAACTTTAAAAGGACATAGACCAAGTTGGTGGAGTGAGCAGACAAGGGCAGCTGAAGTTTAATGAGAGGAAGTGAGAGGTCATAGAGTCGTGAGTCATACAGCACAGAAACAAACTGTTCGGGCCAACCAGTCCGTGCCGAACATAATCCCAAACTAAACTAGTCTCACCTGCCCGCTCCTGGCTCATATCCCTCCGAACTTTTCCTATTCATGTATCTATCTAAATGTCCTTCAAAGTACCACATCCACCATCTTCCTCTGTGTAAAAAAATTGCCCCTCTAGTCTTGTTTAAATCTCTCTTCTCACCCTAAAAATGTGCCTCTAGTTTTGAAATCCCCCATCCTAGGGAAACGACAACTACTATTAACCCTACCTACACCCTTCATTATTTTATAAACTTTGATAAGGTCGCCTCTCATCTCCTATGCTTCAGAAAAAAATAAGTTCCAGCCTATCCAGCCTTTCTTTATCTGGTCGGAAGGATAGTACAAAATAGTGAGTACAATACTTAATAGAGTAGCAGAGGACCTGAGTACACAGGCACATTGATTATTGAAAGTGCCAGTTCAGATGAAGACAGCAGTTAATAAACTACACAGTATCCTGGGCTTTATCAGTGGGGGCATTGAGTACAAGTCCAAGAAGGTGATACTGAACTTAGACAAGACACTTGTTAGACCTTCTGGGTGCCACATGGTAGGATAGATGTGAACGTATTGGAGAGAATGCAGAAGACGTTTGTGAGAATGGTTCCAGGCTGTGACTGTTCTCCTTAGAGACAAGGCTAAGAGGAAATTTGATAGAGGTTTTCAAAATTATGAGAGGCTTGGACAGAGTAGATAGGGAAAAACTGCCCCAGCTTGTAAAAAGGAGCAAGGAAAAGATGGCAGAGATTTAAAGTGATTTGCAAACAAAGCAAAGAGAGAAAATGTCTTCATGAATGGTTCGAGCCCAGAGATGTGGCTGGGGCAGGTTCAACTGAGGCATTCAGGAGGGCATTAAATGATTATTGGAATAGAAACAATGTGCAAGGGTGTAGGGGGAAAAGGCAGGGGAATAGCATCAAGTCATAACGCTTATTGGGAGTTGCAGACATGGGCCAAATGGCCTCCTTCTGCACAGATTCAATTACAGATTTATTATTATGTTTGCGATGTTGGCTGAAGGGCAAATATTGGGGAAAACTCCATTGCTCTTCTTCCAATCTACAGCCCTACTTAAGAGGGTAGGCAGGGATTTAATGGAAGGACCGCATCATCAACAGTGCAGCACTCTCTCAGTATTGGAGTGTCGGTCTGGATTTTGTGCTCATGTATCTTCGAGGGCAGAACCCATAATCTCTAACTCAAGAGGCAGGTCTGCTAATATTAGATGACAGCTAACATAAGTACAGTAAAAGCAGCCTCAAGGTCTTCAATCTTTCAAGGCAGATACAATCATTAGACACTGCACCTGTGGTCAGAAGGTGATCTACACACTTGATGCTGACAAACTGCTTTCTTCCAGAATTCTGGGCTGCTGGAACTTGCTTGGTTTTTTTGAATTACACCCATTGCTTTATGCCTACTTACACGTCAATGTACTGCTATCCTTTGGCAACTCTCTATCTTACAAGTCTTTGAGCTCTTACACCGTCTCTCCTTCTGTCTGGCTTGGTTTAATGCATAGCACCTCTTGCTTCAGTACCAGAGAGAGTGCAGGTTGAAGAACCCCACTCCCTCCCTCCCAAAATAAAGAGAACTTACACAAAATCTAGACTGGTAATTCAGTGTGGTACCAAAGGAATGTTATACCAGAAAATATAGTGTCTTTTAATTGAGATGTTAAATTGAGGTATCATCTGCTCTCTTAAGTGCGAATAAGATCCCCAATGACCTGCCACAGCCAATAATGATGTGTCAGCCAACATCACTACAACAGATGCTCAGACATTTTCATACTTTCACAAGGAGTACTTCAGATGGGTCAGTTTTTGTCCAATGTGTGCAGGAGGGTTTCCT